GAAATCCCATAATAATCCACTTAAAACTACCATTGATTATACTCTTAGCCAATTATCTGTGTATATCAAGTGCAAATTCTTTTTTTATATATAGTAATTCCCAAATATCATAAAAACAATTCATACCACCACTAGAAGTGAATTGTGATATGATATTAAGTTTTTAACTAACAAAATTATGCATAAGTGTATACATAACGTAGCTTCGTCATATCTTGAAAACTACTTATTTTTTTATTAATACAGTACAAATCGGATCAATGTCTTGAATACTATAATCTGACCTTACTCCTGCCTAACATACTCTCTTATAATTTGTCGTACTCCTTTTGTTCATAAATTATGCATTTCCGTTTTTACCCTTACTAAAACAAATTCTTTTTGAATTAAGTTTTATTTATTAAAGAAACAAAAGAAAAAAACGAAAATCTCGTCGTCGATGCCAAAAGCTTTCGTTGAAGGTTCTGATTTCTACAAAATTAATTTCTGATCTTGCTTGCTTCCTATATTGTGAGGAGGAAGAAGAAGTCAAAGAAGAATCGATTCAGATTCAGGGAGAATCGATTAAAGGGTATAAGGAGAAAGGTCTTCTCGGAGCCGGCAGATTCGAAAGGGATTACAGAGAGATTTTTACGATGATGAAGCTTGAAGTCGCCATGAAAAGTATCTCTCAGGATTCCAAATAAGGTATGAAAGAATTTGTTCTAGAGAGATCGTGAGTATCAAAATAATGAATCGGTTCAATTTAAAGGAGTTGAACCATGCGAATCTGGCAGATTCGAGAGAAAACAAGCAAACAAGTGTGCTATCTCGAGAAAGACCTTAATTCACGACGATCATCTCTTTAAATACTCTGATTGTGAGCTTGTCGAGCATCTTGATTGTTCAGAGGTTTCATGAAAGAACGCCAATGAGAAAAGGATTTTCGATGGAGAGGAAGTGTGGAGGAAGAAGTTGAATGGTTTTTGCTGTTTGTGAACGGTGGAGGAAGTGTGGAGGACGAAACATATCAAGAAAGGTGAAGCAATCGTTGTTTCGAGGAGGATATTTGGTGCCATACTTATATACAAACAATGATATACATGTGTCTACTTAACTAATTGGTATCATGTCTAAATCATTGTATTGTATCTCCTTTAGTTAATGTGTAAAAGAACATGACTCAAACGTTTCACTTAACTAATTGGTTTCTTGTCTGGATCATTTTATATTTCAATCTGTCAGTTTGTACAACTACGTAAACTTGGTATCACTATGATCGTTGGACTCTCTGTCTATTAAGTTAGGGACTTTTGGTGAGTTTGACTGAAAGATAAGAAGAAGATGAAATTAATTGGAGGGTCTTCTCTTAAGGTTTTGGTATCATAACAAAATGACTCTTGATGGTGATATACACACGAAAGTATTGGATTCATTATTCACGATTTCATCATTTTTTTTAGAAATAAAATCCATGAAAAGAGAAACACGTTAATAGAAAACGTGGCTTGATCAGTGTTTTACATTATTAAAGAAGAAAATAACAGAACATGTGATAGTATAGGTTTTTATTATATGTTTCAGTGTCTTGTTTGTACAATTACGTAAACCTAGTATTACTATGTTTGTTCTTAGATTTTAAAGTTGTTTTGGTTTTATTTATCTTAAATCGTTTTAGGTTTACATTTTGACATGTAAATAACATATAAAGATTTTATTTGTTATAGAGCATAAATATATTTGATAATTGTATTTACCA